AAGCTCCGAGGGACATGCCGAGCCCACACACCAAGAAGCGTCAAGAGCTACTGAGAGTGCGTGAAGACCTCGACACTGCTTTTGAAACCGAGGACCTCACTGCTCAAGAACAGCTCCAAGAACGAGAATGCCAGTTAGAGAGCGATATCTCTCACTACCGGGACCTGATCAACACATGCACGGCCAAGATCGATCACCTTCTGGCGGATGCATCCGTAGGAGCTCAGGCCCTTCTTCCGGCTCCGAGCCCTGGTCTTCCGGTTGCTATTCATGATGAGTCGGTCAACTCACTCGTCACTGTCTTGGCCGACGCACTGGCGAAAGCGACCTCTAGTGTGAAGTCAAACCCTTCGTCGATGGGATCGAGGCCGATGCAGCTGAGTGACGTGTCGAAGCTATCCGTCTCGTCCCGTACCTTGAAGGACGTATCCCTGTTGTCTGTCCACTACAGAAGGATGGAGTCCCTCTTCGTGGCCGCCAACTTCGGTCAAGTCGGGGAGGATGGTCGGTTTACTCCTCACGAGTCCATCAAGGTGGCAGTCATTGAGAAATTCCTCGACACGTTGTCGCCTTTTGCTACACTGGTGAATGAGGCAGCCAGGAACATCGACAGCAACGGTCACAACTGGGTAGCTCTCCGTGAGACTCTCTTGGACAAGTTCTGTAGTCCTGGGGCCATTCGTAAGGAGGTCAGAAAGCGTGTGGGTAAACTGACGTTTCCTGGCGCCGCAAATGTCGACCAGTACATTGACCAGCTCCGTGACATCCGGACTCTACATCTGGGAGCCAACCACAAGTGCACCACACTATCTTCTACTGGAGCGTGTCAGTGTTTCGACGACAACACCCACTTCATCGACTCTGTGCTGAAGCCGGTTCCACGCGACTTAAAGGTACAACTGGCACGGGACGTCATCTCTGCGGCCAGGCATCAGTACTCAGAGAGGCGCACTCTCGACTGGCAACTGAGGCTCCCTTTCGATGGGACCTCGGGGACTGTCACTATCCTTAGCCTCTTGGCCGATGTTTGCTGTGCCAATAGTCTGACAACGGAAGGCGGTCTGTCTCGTAAACATGAAGGCCAACAACCTAGTTCGGACGTGCGAGAGAAGTTGTGGCATGCCTCTGACCGGCAACCACACAGCACGGTTCGGACAGCAGCACAGAAAGCCCATGCAGAGGCGGTTGAGTGGGCGAGGACGCAGCCTTTCGTCCTATTGGTAATGGGCGAGGGTGTGAAATCGGCTACTGCTTCGACGACGGGGTTCAGTGCGGCCAAAGACCTGAGGTTCCTCACGTCCCGAGCCGGCAAACCCTACTGCTTGATGTCGTTTCCGGACAAGTCCTCGGCTATGGCCTGCGTGTCAGACCACTTCGCCGATAAGTCCCGGTTTGGTATTGTCAAAGAGTTCGATACCGACTACAAACGCCGCCAGCGCGGCAACAACGGGGGTCCAAAAAACGAGTACAGGAGTGGCGGTCAGTAGGCGACCGGACACTCCTTGCTTCTGATAGCCTACACAATACTCTCACTTCGGTGGTCGACGGTTCTGACTGTGATAGCGATCCTAGTCCCTCAGTTGCTGGCTTACCGAATCGACAAGATTCATCAAACTTCATCTTACCGCCGAACCATCCCGACTTGCGAGACTCTGTAGATTACCCCCAACACACAGTTGGTCAAGCTCACGATCGTCTACCCTCGTGGTCCACTACCGATTTTGCTGCCATCGCGGCCGAGACCCAACGTCCTGCTGAGGTCGCCATGCAGCTCCGAGTGTCTCAAGGTGAACAATCCTTGTGCATGAAGGGCGTGGTCGACTCTGGTGCCACGGCCTCGTATTTTATCTGCCCAGCTGACTATAGCCTCGCCTTCGCAGTCGATACTACTGACTCACCTCTTCGGGTATCTCTGGCCGATGGCAGCGTACTTATGGTTTCCGAGTTGTTGGACCTGCAGTTCGAGATCCGCGATGTTTCGAGCACCGATTGGTTCTGCCCAACGAAGCACGGTTTCCGCTTCGTAAGGCTAGCTTCCTCGTGCAATGATGCCGTACCATATTGTCTGATCGGAAGGGATCTGATCAGCCAGCTTGGCATCACTTTCTATGGTGTGGACACTGCGTGGATCGCCAACCGGTTGGTTTATTCTTCTACGTCGGATAAGGTGGACTTGATCGTTGATGTATCTCCCTACGAGACGCTTTACCACGTCTGCGATGATTCCCCTATTGATCCGTCACGGTTTTCCGTTCTGGCTCCTGCACCATGCCCCAACTCTGCCCTCTCAGTTTGCCTGCCGGATACTGTGAAATCTGAGCTGCATGTTCTACTCGATAAGCTTGTCGAGGAGGGGTGGTATATCAGTCCGTGGTCTTCAGCTTACAAAACCAGATTCCGAAGGCTCGTTGAGGGCGAGTTCCGCGACGTTGACTGCCAACGATACACTGCTCAGCTAGCCTTACCTTTACCACAAGTCCCTCGTTGCAAGCCCGCCGACTATGCTCACGCTATGTATCGGCGACTACCCACCGAATTACGGAAGGCCTATACTTCCGCTGTCAGTGAGTACCTCCGGCAAAACTTCTGGCAACGGCCACACGCGGCCCTCTTACAGTCGCCGTCGTTCCAGTCTCAACCATTCGCTTCGGTTTTCCTGGTCAATCCCAAGAAACCTAGATTGGTGCTGGATCTACGGTCTCTAAATTCGGCTCTACCAGCCTGTACTGTAAAGGTGGCTGCTCTATGGCAAGTCCTGTGTAGCTTGCGATTGATATCGCCTGAATGCATAGGGGCTAGTGATGTACGGGCCGCATTTTATGCAGTGCGCCTCTGTGATGATGACGACGCCTTCCTGAAGTTTCTGAAGGTTCGTACTGGTATTGGTGATTATGTCGTGAGCAGAGTTGGTTTCGGGGTGTCGCCGGGTCCTTTGGCTCTCGTTGATACTTTGGGCCGAGCAGTCAGACGCTATCGTGCATCGGAGACCTCAAAAACAGGTTACATCGTCGATTATCTGGATGATGTGCACTGCTTTGGCCTTTCTGTGCCCGTGGTTGCTAACCTGGCTCGGTTGATCTATCTTCTGTCATGTGCTGCCTTCTGTAGTCAGCTAAAGAAGCTCGGTATCGCAGCCATCATGGAGCAGAGACGGGTTGTCAACCAGAAACTCCAGGAGTATGCTATCGACATAGTGGCATCTGATAGTGTCTCGGTGTTTGGCCTGAATTTCTACTATGCGTCAGCATCAACTCTCCACGACGGAAACCTACTGGCAGTGGACTGCCAACGCACCGCCCGGCTGGCCAAGGCATCAACATTCTTCGACATCGAACCCATGGTGTGCGATTCACATTCGAAGAAAGCCTTCTATTGTGTCGCCGACTTCTGTCGTTTGATCCTTGCCGGATGCATAGTTGCTGCCGCCTTCTAGCTGACGTATTGCGGGCATGCATCGGTCGATGGTTCTCCTCAACATCATGGGACGAGTGTTGTCACCTGTCGACCCTTGATGAGGACGATCGCCTTACTTACGTCGAGCTTGTCCGTTGGGGCCGTTTGCTTTGTGAAGAAGAGCGAGGACCTTGTCGACACACTACCAGCGTTATGCCCCCGACGTCAGGTGATACAGTGCCATCTGTCACTCTGAATGTCTCTAGCGACGCTTCTCTCTATGGCGGTGGTGTCGTGATCTGCCGGCAGTTACCTGATGGCGGTGATGAGACAGTCCTGGTCGACGCTCTACGTTTTAGTCCACGGCAGACCTTCTACAGCTCGAATAGGAGAGAGCTTCTGGTGTGTCTGCAGGCGCTCCGGGCGTTATCTTCGCTATTGGACTTTGTAAGGTCGGCAGCGACTGCTCAAGACCGTGGTCTACGGCTCAAAGTCAACTTTGTGTCTGATAACTCCTCATCGGTTTCCTGGATTGGTAACCCCGAGGCGGTCCTCCGCCTCCAGTCGTCCAAGGCCTTGGAGAAGAGAGCTGTCGCCCGACTCGTCGACGCTATTAGCCTCGAGCTTGATGCTATCCGCAAGGTCTGTGGCAAAGACAACTTTAGTGTCTCACATGTCAGCGGGGAGGCCAATGTCCTAGCTGATAAGGAGAGTCGGCGGCTCGACCGTGTGGTCGCGGACTCAGGAGGTCGGTCGTTGGGATCGCTAACCTCCTACTCTAAGACTGATGGCGTCAGAGTGGCTGAGATCGCCAACAACACTGCCAACGACGACCTCTGCTGCAGCATGACGGATTTGAGCGGGCCCACCACCTCTTGTGGGTTCTGTTCCACACTGACCGATGACATCATTCAGGCGGATGATATTTCATTAGAGTCCGACTACTTCAATTCTCACCGGTCGGTTATATCCCTCCGAGATTATTGTTGCCTGGTCAAGGAAGATACTGACTCTCAAGTGGAGGTTATCTCGGGTTCACTTTGGGGGCGACTTACTCGCTCAGTCACAGGTTGCAGACAGCAGGCTGACAATGCCGCGGTGGAGGATGCTATCTTCATCGTTCGTGACTCTCTTTATGTAGCATCGCAAGAAGCCTGCGTGAGCAACCCCGAACCACTTGTGGAGATCCTAGCACGCGAGGCCTGGGACTTGGACGCGGTACTTCAGATGATCAGCCTTCTCCGGGGCGTGCTCCGGGTCCTATGGCTCAACCGGCGATGCGGTGCTCAGGGCTCGACAATCCAATTCAACCTCTTCCGCTTGTGGAATGACGACGATGTCCTTGCCGCCGCCCATTCGGCTCAGGGGGGAGGTGAGGTCAGCCACGCCAGTAGACCAGCTGCTGCCTCACCCCTACAGCCCTGTGGTAGCGCCGCTATCAAGGACGTCACAACTCACAGATGTGGTCTTCCTAGTGGAGAGGTTATCTTTCAACCGGTGATACCGAGCACTGCTCCTCGCTTCGCTCGAAAGATCGTCCTGTCGGCTCATCGGTCCTGTAAGCATGGTAACCTCCCCTTCACCGTCGGCTCTATCAAACTCTACCATCTCCCTTCTGCGATACGCCTATGTAAAGAGATACTGGCAAACTGCTTGGCGTGCCGTATCATACGAGCTTCCCGCACGTGGAGTGCTCCCAGTGGTGTACTCGCCGACGAGGACGCCACAGTAGAGGATATGTTCAGGAGTCCGCCTTACACCTACGCCACTTGTGATGTGTTGTCTGTAGGGGATGGGTGTAAGCTGCTTACTGTACAATGCCGGGCAAGCCGCCATATCTGTTGGAAGCACATCGAGCATGAGGACACAAAATCTGTCGTGGAGGCCCTAAAGAGAGTGAGGAGGTCCGTGGGAGGGCTCCGGTATCTATATGCTGACCAGGCAAGCTACCACCGGTCCCCTGTTTTCCGGCAACGACTGCGTGATGAACTCGGTTGTGAGCTCACCTTATTGCCACGCCATGCGCCGTGGTGTGGTGCCAACGAGAGGCATCATGGGGTAGCGCTGGATATGCTGAAGCAGCTCCTGAGGCATGATGCCGGAAGAATCAGCAAACTATCTGGAGTGGAGCGCCAGGATGTATATGACCAAGTGACCTTACTTCATAATGGTATGCCTATCGGTGTGTACGCGCTCCAGGGATCCGGTGAAGTCCCCGTCACTCGTGACATGTTATGTATGGGATATACGAGGTTGGATTCCTGTTCCACTTCTTCCCAGGTGAAACCGTCGCTACCTTGGGTGCCATATAATGCATATGCGAAGGCCCGTAACGTCTATCTGAGTCACATGTGGTCTCATATTAAGAAGAAGAACAGCCGACTGCATCCTCTGCCCAAGACCGATGATTCTCACCTCTACTTCCCCGGTGCGCCCGTGCTTGTATATAATGGTAGCCCCCGCAAGTTAGCACCTGCTTTCGGCTTGGCTCACGTCCGTGAACGCTTAAGTGCTCACCGAGTTTCTGTGGTCCACACCAATGGTACGGTGACGGTTGAGAATCTTCGGAACGTGACGGCGATCTACCGATGCCAACGTGACTCCAGTTCACCCCCATATGTCGGTGCCTCCCTGCTTCATATGCCTCTCAGGGTCTGGATTCTCGACAAAAAGGGTAGTGGCGATTGGTACTATGGCCGAGTCGTGGATCATATTGGTGAGGACGAAGTACTTATCAGTTGGGATCGTCGTAACCCAGATGACAGCGAGTGGTTGCGGTTGTGGCAAGAGAAGTGGGAACCCTTTCCTGATTCCGGTGATGTTACACCGTAGGGGGGGCGTGCCCAGCACACTGTATATATTTCTCCTAGTCGAACGCATTACAAGTATTCAACACTATTTCTGTATCTTTGAGGCCACTGCGCCCGCCACACCGCATGATGAAACGGTCACCTCATGATGAGGCTGATCAAGCTTAATTAAGGCTTCTTTATTCCCTCGATCCTCTCTGTTGGGTTTCTCTAACCCTATAGGATTGGACAGTGCGATAGCCGTGGAATATATTTTTCATATCGCTAGGGTGAAACTCGAATGACTCACCAAGTAGATTCGCGCCTCCGCAAGTGGCAAAAGCTCGTCGAACTGCAGCTCTTCGTTATCGACACCTTCAAGCTCATCACTCCTCGATTCATCCCAAACCGTCATCTCCGCCTCATGCAGATCTTCCTCACTATTTTGGAAATCTTCATAGTGCGAAGATTCAATCAGTCGAGCTTCGTTACTCTCCCGATGAATACCTCAAAAATGCATATCGCAATTGGGGAGTTTGCTATTACTCTCAGCAGCTTCCCACACGATGCTTGTGACCGTCTCGTACGCCCACTGGTCGTTCAACAAACCCGTGTCGGGATCTCTTGACCGTAGATGGCTGAGAACATTACGCGCATGTGTTGGTGACAATATAAAATTCCAAAGAAATTTTGGGAATTTCTTGGTGATTTCTGTTGTACACTTCTACCCAAATTCTTTGGTGAAAACTCTGAGGAGCTCAGCAGCTGAGCAGCATATAAGCGAACATATATTCGTACTCCAACACTGCAGAGTTTCACCCGTTTTACGTGTTGAAGTGGCGTCGTAATACTCGGTGAAAAAGACGATATTCGCGGTGATATGTAGTAGTCGTGGGCTATGTATTTTACTAGTGTTTTGCATATATGTTCCCTCTCCTCAGCTGCTGAGCTCAGCATAGTTATATCACTAATTATAAATCTAATACTATATACATATCCCCCGATCCATACCACTCTTCCTACTCAACACATTCACGCCAAACTCTCCCCTCGCTATCTCCTGGGGTCTCCGTCGCGATATGCTCGAGGAAGTGACGAAGCATGTGGGAGCTGCGACGCCAACAGATCTCCTCTACTGCCTGACGATGATTATAGACCTCAGTTGGTTAAAATGGAGTTTCACCACCCTAGTGATATGAAAAACATATTTCACGACTACTGCATATCATCGCGAATATCGCGTTTTTCACCGAGTTTCACGTGAAACGAGTGATTTAACTCCAATATAGAAATTCCTATTGGTTTCTGGACATTTTCACCCAAATTTTTATGTGAACTTTCATATAGACTTTTTATCAGTTTAGAAAAATACATTTGTTGGTGATAATACTACTACGACATACTATCGATCGTCTTCAATTTGCGTGGAAAATTGAATATGAGAAACATATTCAATTTGAAGCGAAAAATTATGTTCTTAGAAACCTAATTATGGCCTCAAAATTATGTTCTTGTCAGCATCTTTCATATTGAAAGATGTTGACAGAAACATATGTGCTGGAGGGGAGTCGCAGAATTATGTT